CTTTTTCTTGATTTTGTTTTTATTTTTCGATATTTATAATAAATAATAATTTATTTATTTATTTATTTATTTATTTATTTACAGGATGAACACAAAACAACTCATGCCAACTACTTAATATTATTTTAGTTTATATTTTTCAACGGAATTATATATTTTTTTAATTCTTTTTCTTTTTTTAGCTTTAAAATAATTGGCAATTTTTATTAGAAGGAAAAAAAAAAGTTTTGAAAAATTCTTAAATTGGTTTAAGAATTGGGTTCTAAAAAAAAATAAATAATAAATAAATAAATAAATAGTGCATATATATATATATATGTTGGGAGAATATATGTATAGGCAGATAATTTATTGGTTATTTTTAGTTAGTGTAATAATTAATTTAAAGATTTAACATGAAAAGGTTGGTATTAGTTTTAGTTTAAATGATTGAATGGGTAAAAAGTTGGGAATTTCTTTCATTACTTTCATGGGGTAAAATCTTTACACACACACATATATATATATATGTATGTAATATAATTTTGTCAAACTACAAAAGAAATGGAAGTCAACTATTTTTTTTAAAAAAATTATTATTAGTTAAATTCTTTTCAAATTTTTTTACTACCTCTATGAAATTCATTCATTTATTACCCAATCATTTATTAATTATCATTAGTTTACAATAATAATTAATAAATATATGTAAATTAATGATTTCATGTGATAAATTTAACTTTAGTGCATTATTGTAATTTATTATTTAAGATAATTTTTATATTTATAATAATAATAATACAATTAATAATCATAGCATTTTATAAATAATATAGAGAACCATAAAATTCAATTCAAATTTGTATTTTTATAAAATTGAGTAAGTAAAAAAAAAGGTGATGATCAAACTAAATTAAAAAATAAATAATGCATTTTTTATTCTCTATTTTTTCCATAACATTTATATGGTGGAGATCATTTATATAAAGTTATAAAAAAGTTAAGAAATTTGTTTATTATAATGAATCTCTCAATATATAGATATATATATATATATATATATCTTATTATTAAAATTTAAAAAATCAACAAAAGAAAAAGTGGTCCTAACCCATTAAATCATGAGTATGTCCACTATTCTAATATTAAAATTCAACAAAATCAAATTAGATATCATCAAAATAATTATAGAGCATATCCTTCATATGTATCCAAAGTTTGATTATATATAAAAAAAAAACTACTTTTAAAAATCAACTTTACAAAACCCAAATGAAAAATACACGTACCAACAAAACCCTCTTATTATATACAATTAAATACCATATTATTATTATATTTATCTTATTAGGTTTAGCAATTGCAAAAAACAATAGAAATAATTTGCAGCCAATTTAATGGCTGCTATACCATATAGTTCTAGGCACGTGCTCCATCTCCAGAGGTATATAATGTTGATAAGACCAATCGTAGTTGACAACCAAAAAAGCCATAAAAACTCTCCACCATTTTCAAATTTTAACATCTCTTTTGGGTCCACCACAAATCTTAAAACCTTGACTTCTAATCAAATTATATATATATATATAAAATTGTGGAGTTATATATATTTTTAATTAATAAAATATATAATTTTTTTTGTTTGCTTGAATAGATCTTAATCACATTTAGTAATTTACTTAGTTGCTTTAATTTTAATTTGTTTATTTTAGGAGGTGAGTAGGACTGTTCATTTAACTTGTCCCA